CGTCTACAAGTACACGGGGCGGAGCTCCGGCCGAGCGGGTCGATCGCACCGTGTACTTGTAGACGAGCGTGTCATCTCCCCCTATCTCCCCCTATCTCCCTATCTCCCTATCTCCGCACCGTGTACTTGTAGACGAGCGTGTCATCTCCCCCTATCTCCCCCTATCTCCCTATCTCCCTATCTCCGCACCGTGTACTTGTAGACGAGTGTGTCATCTCCCCCTATCTCCCCCTATCTCCCTATCTCCCTATCTCCGCACCGTGTACTTGTAGACGAGCGTGTCATCTCCCCCTATCTCCCCCTATCTCCCTATCTCCCTATCTCCGCACCGTGTACTTGTAGACGAGTGTGTCGGCGTCGCGAGCAGAGTAGCGCCGCACCACCTTAGTCACCACCTTGAGGTAGTGCACGTGGCTGTCGCCTACGGCGCAGTCCCGACCCGCACGCTCCTCGCGGCCGTCGCCGCCGCCTCGCCGCCGCCGCCGCGTCGCTGTCGCCGGCGGCGTCCGAGATGAACGGAATCGACTCGAGACGGTGCGAGGTCGGCGAGTCGATCTCGAAGCGGTCCGCCTACCGCAATCGTGACACGCGCGGTGACGCCAACCGCGCCGCACGGGACCTCTTCTTGAGGCATGCGTCGCCTCGCTCAGCCTCGAGCGCTGGAAGCGAGAGAGCGGCTCGCCGTACCTGCGGGTGCTCTCGGGTACTCTCGGGTGCTCTCGGGTGCTCTCAGGTGCTCTCGGGTACTCTCGGGTGCTCTCGGGCCAATCTTGGGAGAGCGGCTCGCCGCACCTGCAGGCAACCGTGACGCGTCAGCGGCGGCGGGCGGGCGGGGGGGGGGGGGGGACCGCCGAAGGGCGGGGCAAGGGGGGCGGGGGAAGGGCGGAAGAAGGGCGGCGGGGGGCGGTGCGGGGCGGTGCGGCGTGGCAGTCGCGCCAAAGTTGACGGCGTGCGACGAGTTGATCTCCCCACATCTCCCCATCTCTCCCCATCGCTCACCAAAACTCGTTGACGGCGTGCGACGAGTTGATGAGCGCGTGCTCATGGTCGTGCTCCGGTGAGTGGAGGACGAGCTTCAGCACGCCCGGCACCTTGCGCACGCGGAGGTGGCCGGCGACCATGCAGCCTGCGGCGGAGAGATGGGTGAGAGATGGGGAGATGTGGGGAGATGTGGGGAGATAGGGGGAGATGTCCCTCTGGCCCGTGGTGCAGCGATCCCGACGAGGAGACGGGCGCAGTCGCGTTGTTGATTTTGAGGTAGGAGGTCCACTGCTTGTCTGCGTTGACCTATTCTCAGTCCTACGGCTGGTGTGGTGGCTCTTGAGTCTGGGGTAGGAAGTCCTCTGCTTGTTCTGCGTTGACCTGCGCCTCGCCCGCCCTGCCGCTCTTGAAGTAGATGAGGGGGTTCTCGCCTGGTGCGTCGGCGCGGCGCGTGACGTCCCCCGCTCTCTCTCTCCCTCTCTTCTCTCTCTCCCTATTGCGGTGCGCGGCTGCGCGCCCGGCATGAACGGGTCCGGCTCGAGGTATGGGGAGGTATGGGGGAGGTATGGGGGAGGTATGGGGAGATATGGGGAGATATGCGCGCCCGGCATGAACGGGTCTGGCTTGGCGTCCTTGGCAGGCATCTCCTCCGCGGCGTACGTGAAGCCGATGCACTCCTCGTTGTTGCCGCAGAAGGTGTTCGCAGCCACGATGGGCATCTTGGCGCGGTAGAGGTCGCGGCCCGCTGACAGGGCGCCGCGCCGCACCTATGGAGCCGAGAGATCGCCGAGAGGTCGCCGAGAGGTCGCCGAGATGCAGCAAGCAAGGCGCCGCGCCGCACCTCGAAGCGCGCGGCATGCTGCTTCCGCAGCACGGCGTGCGAGGTGCGGTAGGAGTCCTGTTCACAGCGCGAGGTGTGAAGAGACGCTGTTCACAGCAGCACGGCGTGCGAGGAGCGGCAGGAGAAGGCCATCTGCTTGCGCACAAAGCCGAGGATGGCGCCCACCGACCGCTCGTCGGTGAAGAGCTCAAACTCCTGTTCACAGCTGCAGGTGTGAAGGAGGCGCCGCTCACCGCCGCCCGCCGCCCGCCCGTCCCCAGAGCTCGAGAGGCCTTGTCGTTGCCGTCTTTGTACATGCGAAGCGTCGGGTAGGCGCGAATCATATGCTTGACGCAAAACTCCTGGAAGGCGACGCAGTCGACCTGACACAGAGACGAGCGGCGTCCAAAGACAGCTGTGAAGCGGCGGCACTCCTTGGGCGCGGCGGCGCGCGCGCGACACCTGCGCCAACCGCGTGTGCCCGTGGAACTCGAGGCTCGGCACCTTTGCGGCCGCCTCGAGGTAGACAGGCTCGAGCCGCTGGCACCAGATGCACCAGGGCGCGTAAAAGTTGACCTGTTCACAGCTGCAGGTGTGAAGAGACGCTGCTCACAGCACCAGGGCGCGTAGAAGCTGACCAGGCTGAGCTCGTGCTGCTGCAGGAAGGGGACGAACGTGTCCGGCGACAGCGGCTGCGAGAGGTCCGTGTCGGGCGGCTCCTCCTCATCCTCGTCGCCGTACGACGGCGAGACCGGCTCCTTGGACATGGCAGCGTCCGCCGCCCGCTTCGCATCCCTCGTCTCCACCGCGCTCACCGCCGCCGCGTCCCGCACGACTCGCTGGTTCGAGTCGAGCCGCCACTTGAGGATGTCCTGTTCACAGCGGAAGGTGTGAAGAGACGCTGTTCACAGCATCGAGTCGAGCCGCCACTTGGGGCTGTCCTTGCGGATGTCGTGTGTCGCGGCGCCCGTCATGTCGGAGACGTCCACCGAGAGGAACTCGCACGGCACCTGGTGCAGCGTGACGTTGAAGTTGACTCGCAGCGTCTCGTCGACAAGCTCGTCGACGACAAGGTCGGTGGTCGAGGTGACTGTGAGATACGCCGAGAGCTCAAAGAGGAAGAGTGTGATCAGCACAACCTGCGGGCCGGCAGGCGCGCGCAGGCGCGTGGAGCCCAGAGCGGGACCGCGGCGGCGGCTGCCCCGACGTGTGTGCCGAGTGCGGCGCGGGCAGCAGCGGGACTCCCTCATATCTCCGGCCGGTTCGGCAGTCCGGCGGCTCCTCTGCTTTGAGAGGAGCAGGCTCGGCGCCGGCGGCACGGCGGCGCGGCGCACCGTGCCGAGAGCGGAGATGATGAGGCCGGGCGTGGAGGTGACGACGAGGTCGTCAGGGACGTGTTTGAAGTAGTTCAACACAGGTCCGTAGCTCTTGCGTCCCATGGCCCCGAGGTGGCGGTCCTGTGGGTGGCGCGGCGAGCGCGATCGGGCGAGAGGGAGGGCCGGTGGTGCGGATGTGTGGCGCGACTCACAGCGCTGATTCCGCGTGTGGGCCGGCGCCTGTGGCCAAGTAAAACGCGGACTTAAAGCATCCGAAGGGAGGGATGGGTGACACAGGGATTTTCAATGTATGTTTCTCTCTCTCTCTCTCAATGTAAGTGGCTCTTACGTACATACCCGGGGTTTGCGACATACATTGAGCGTACAGGGTTTGCGATGAGGAGTGACCCGAACAGGGTTTCTCGCGGTCTCGGGAACCGTACCCGTACTACTCAAAAGTACAATATACTTTCTCACAGCACTAGCGAGATTTCGCGCGGAGGGCGTAGTGAAGCGCTGGGGCGCTCACTGTGTGTTATTCGGGTGGGGATCCATCAGTGGTAACCGGCTTTAGTCACAGATCCAAGCTCAGACGCCACACCAACACCACAAACACGCTCACTTCGCCGCTGCTGTAGATGGGCCCCCGGGGGCCCATACTACGTCGAAGTACGGACCCGATCTCGGCACTCACGGGCTGTCACGCGCCCGCGCGCGGCGCGGGCCGCACCGCCCATGCCCCCGGGTCACCGACCCCGCCTCTCGGCCCTCTCGGCCCTCAGGAGCGTGCGGGAGACCGGCGAGGGGCGCGCCGCGCGCCGCCTGCAGAGCCGCCAGAGGCATTGTCGCCTCCGCTGGCGGGGTTCCCGCGCGCGCGCCCGCCCGCGCCCGCGCCCGCCCACGCTGCGCCCGCGGGCTCCGGATGCGCCGCCCTCCGTCTCCTTCTTCTCGATGGCAGTCCGCACGTGCTTGTCGACGGGTCGGCGGCGTGGTCGAGGGGAAGGTCGCCGGCGGCCGCAACTCCGCCGCCGTCGCTCCGCCGGCTCTGACCGAGTATATCGGGCGTTGAGGGCGGCGGCGCAAGCGGATCTGGCGCATCCATCGCCACGAGCCTCGCGACCGCGGTCGTGGCACACCTGGCGGCGGCTCTCGGGGCCGTCTCTACGGCGCTCGACGCCGTGTGAGGTCGCCAGCGGCCGCAACTCCGCCGCCGTCGCTCCGCCGGCTCTGACCGAGTATCGGGCGTTGAGGGCGGCGGCGCAAGCGGATCTGGCGCATCCATCGCCACGAGCCTCGCGACCGCGGTCGTGGCACACCTGGCGGCGGCTCTCGGGGCCGTCTCTACGGCGCTCGACGCCGTGTGAGGTCGCCGGCGGCCGCAACTCTGCCGCCGTCGCTCCGCCGGCTCAACCGAGTATCGGGCGTTGAGGGCGGCGGCGCAAAGTGGGTCTGGTGCGCCACACGGCCACAACCCTTGCCACCGCCCTTGCCGCCGCCCTTGCCACCCTTTGCCGCCTTGCCTACGCCGCGGGCGGCGGTGAGAGCGGCCTGCTGGGCTAGCATGTTGTCCTTGCTGGGGACGGGCACGTGGAACGCACGTTATATGTTCGAACGGCCTCCGGGATTCAAACAAAAAATAGTCCAGGCCCTCTCGCAACCCCTCCGACCCCCTGGGACCCGTGGGCGTCGAAGAGGCGCTCTCGGGGGGCCGTTCTGAGTTCATACTACCTCGAAGTACAATATACTGCGTCAAAGCACCGGCCCTGAGTCCGCTCGGGGTTAGAGAGAGATGTTGTTGCGGGGTTAGTTAGTGCACCACTAACCGCCTCTGCAAGAGCACTGCGACGTATCGGGCTCATACTAGCACCCACCTCGCGAGCCGACGTTCTGGCTCAACGAGGCTGCTGCTGGCACTCGGGGCCGACTTTCTGGCCCAGCGAGGCCGCTGCGGGGCACACGGCGGCACGGGTCACTCCTCAACACAAACCCCGTCGAAGCAGGAAGTATGGGTGTGTGTAAAGGCGGCGCGGCACGGCAAGGGTCGGCGGTAAGGCGGCGCGGCGGCAACAGACGGCAGGCAGGGCATCGGACGGCGGGACAAGCGGCACGGGGCATGGCACTGTAGGAGCGGCGGTACGGCGGCACGGCGGTAACGGACGGCAGGGGGGGCGGCGGGCTAAACGGCAAGGGTGGCGCGGCACGGAGGAAGGAGCGGCACGGCAGGGAGGAGCAAGGACGGCGCGGTAACGGCAGGATCACGGATAGGCGTGGCACGGATAGGAGCGACTTGTCGGTGAGGCCGCTTGGGTAATACCGGACAACACGCTCTCCTCACAGGCTAGCAGCCTACCGCTAGCCCTACACTCGCACTCATGGTTGACGACGGACCACGCAGGGAGCAGCATCTGCAAAAGGAATCCCCAAATAGGGAAGAAGAAAGAAGAAATATGCTCGCCCGGACGCCTTCGCGGCCTCGCCGTGCTTTGCCTTCGCCGTCGCGGCCGAGAGCCTTGCTCTCTTCGTTCTCGCGGCCGAGCTTTCCGAAGGCCTCGATCATGACCTCCTCGCCTTCAACTGCGGGGGCCGCTCCCTATCCCTGAGCGGGCTCAATTTTGCTCTAGGCACTTAGGGCGTTCACACCTGAGCAGGCTCAATTTTGCTCTAGGTGCCTCCATTGCAATACGATTCGATCCCGCGTTCAGAGACAGAGTCGCCTGGTGCGTTGTTCGGTTTCGTCACGGGAGCCATGCACATACCAACCCTCGCTTGCCCCCCCCTCTCAGGGTTCCACCGCTCTGAGGCCGCCCCTTTGGTCGCTCCACGGCGCACTCCTGCCCGTCAAGACTCACGCGACCCTGCAGCAGAAGCTGCTCCGCCTGACTCTCGCTTCGGCAGCACGCCCGCACGAGGTGGAGAGGCTTTTGCTTCTCGGACGGGCCGGACGTGCGCCGGAAGCGGGTGACCGTCTCGACGCCGAGGAGAGCACAGAGCTGGGCGTCTCGGTGAGGTGGAGAGGCACGCTGCGGAGGACGACGTCGATCGGCATTGCTTCTTTCTCCTCGTAATACTACAAACGGTGGCGCGGCGAAGCGGCGTGAGAGCGAGCGGACATGATTGACAGAGAATTTTACAACGAACGACACTCCCTGATTGACAGAGAAAAAAGAAGCCTGTCGAGCCGCCAACGAGGTTCTCTTTTTCGCCGTCCCAAACTGTCACTCCCCTTTCTCCCGGCCGTGGGGCGCGGGCCCGAGAGTAATAAAAATTGAAGGCGCTGAAAGAATTTAAACAAAAGAACTCTCTCTCACAGCACACAGGCTCGACACAGGTGCGAACTGGCGCGTGCTAGTACTATCACCGGCACACCACCGGAGCCGCCTAAGCGACTCCGTTAAGAACGGCAATGCACTTAGCTCCGTGCACAATGCCGCTGTCCCCGCACGCTAGCTCGTTCACCGTCTGCCACGCCACAGCGGTGTGGAGAACGACAGACAAGCGCTGCATCTGCAGCCCGTGCCAGTTCTTGGTGGTCCATGTGACCTCATCGAGGTGCTGAGCGTGCGAAAGTTTGTTACTCAGCTGGTCCGCCGCCTGCCGAAGAATTCTGCGGACGCCGTCCCCGAAGCCGCCGAACGTCTCGAAGTCGAGCAAACGCAGGTCGCAATTCTTCTCCCGCGCGAACCGGTACTCGCCCTTCTCGTAGCGGGCCGTCACAGGTGCCCCCGCCTCCGCCTCCCCCTCACTCTCCCCCTCCTCCTCTTCCGCCGCCGCCGCCTCCGCCTCTGCATCCTCCGCCTCCCTCCCCCCCTCCCCCCCCCCTCCCGGCCGCGGCCATGCAGCATGCCCTAACACTAAGTCGAGCAGCGCCCGCTCGGTGTTGCCGAAGGCGACAAAAGCCCCCTTCCAGCCGAGCCGATCGCCACCCTTGCACGCAAGCGAGCTCGTCAGTTTCAAGTCGCCAACGAGGCGCACATGCCCTTTGCCAATGTTCGCCGCCGCCACGTCAGGTTGTTTTGGGTTACTGTAACTGAGGTGTGCAGTCGGCTCCATCTCGATGAGCATGCCCCACGCCGAGCGAAGGGTCTTGACGAGTCGTTTGAGCAGGTATTTGTGTCGTGTCGCGTGCTTCGCATCTGGCTATTTCACCCTTGGGTTTCTTGCCGTCGTGCCTGGGCTGTGTGCTGGGGCGGGTCCCCAAGGGTGAATCTGGCTATATGTGCATGCACCCCTTCACTGCCTTTAGACTAGCCCAAACAACTCACTGCCTTTGACATGGCGCTGAATCATACATGCCGCTGCAGCACCCTCGTCGTCGCTCGCTACAACGAGTCCCTCGACTGGACTACGGGCATCCAGGCGCCGGTAGCTGTGGTGCAGAAGACGGCAAATGTTGGTCGTGAGTCTCTCAGCTTCTTGCAGTGGATCGTTGAGCATTATGCGCACATCGAGCACGAGCACGTGTGCGTGTGCTTCGCCCAGGGCGGGCCGTTCATCTCCACAGGGCCATCGGGACAACCCTGCTACCTCACCGCACCTCTCGTCAACGCAGCACGCCTGAATGCCGACCAAGACGTCGCCCGCCTCGCTCCGTGCCAGGCAATCCTGCAGCACACGGCGTGTGGTCTGAACCCACGGTGGCAGCTGCCGTGCTTCGGGCCACTCCTCCGTGCTGTTCTCGGACGGCACGCCCCACCTGAGGACAGACTTTTTCGGACCTTTGCGGGGGCATTCATGATCGTGCGCTCCGCAGCGATTACGCGCCTGCCGCTCGACGTCTATTGGTACTTACTGGCGGAGCACTTTGGCGCCGGTTGTGCCCTGCGCGTGCCGTGGGCGATGGAGCGGCTTTGGCGACACCTCTTCATGTGCCGTGAATGCACACCGCACCAGAAGCTCGAGCTGCCTGTCTTGCGGGACCGGCGATGCCGCGGGGTCAATGGCTCCCGCGCGGCGCGGACCGGCCCGCCCGACTATGTGGCCTTCCCGCCGGAGCCACTTGCGGGGTTCGCCTGGGCTATCTAACCCGAACCCGAACCCGAACCCGAACCCGAACCCGAACCCGAACCCGAGCCCGATTCCGAGCCCGATTCCGAGCCCGAGCCCGAGCCCGAGCCCGAGCCCGAGCCCGGCGACGGGTACATCTCCAAGCTGGAGCTGCGCTGCACGCTGGGGGACGAGTACGAGGTCTGTCGGCTACGTAGTCAAGGGGTTGCTAGGGCAAGGGCTGGGGCGAGAGTCAAATTGGATTAGGGCTAGGGCAAGGGCTGGGGGGCGAGATGGGTTCACTCAGCTCCTATCCTTCTCGGCCCGCACGCTCCATATCTCCCATATCCCCCCACAGATGATCGCCTCGAGCGGCGGCGAGAACAGCTGCATCACCTTCGAGCAGTTCAAGGCGATGATGCTCAAGGACAAAGGCTTTCTCCTTGACGAACCGGAATCGGGTCTCGACCGGCAACCTCTCCGCACTCCCCACTTCGCGAAAGACGAAATCGGCAAAGGCCTGAGGCGCCGTCGCATCCGACAGGGGCGAGTGCGCTGCTGCCCCGCGCGCCTTACTTACCGTTACCCGCGCCGCTCCTCTTCTCCCCTTCTCGACACATGCACACATGCTGTGTTGGCGGCCCCCTCGGGCGGAGCGACGCATGAAATGTTCTTACTCGACCAACGCCAGTTGTAAAAACGGCTAACGGGTATACGCGATATCACACACACACGCCCCCTCGCCCCACGCCCCACGCGGCGTGCGTGCGACCCCCGCCCGAAGCGCGAAGGTGAATGAAGATGAATCCCCACCCGACCTCGCGTCTACTTGGGTTTGTCCGCGACACATCGCGGGAAGATACAGTGACTCGATACAGGCCCTTTTCTCGCGGCGGCACCGGGGATGCCCATCCAATATCACGGCACCCCCCCGCCGGGGCGTGAATCCGAGGCCATACTTTCCTCGTTTCCGCCACGCCCTTCCGCCACGTCGCCCCAAAGGAGGAAGGAGGAACGTCCCCTCGCAGCAGAACATGCTCGGCGTTCAGGCTGCAATCGCTGTTGTGTTTGCCATCGCGATGATCGCAGCTATCCTCGGCCCGTGCTCGATGCCGATCCACACGACGTGTTCGCAAGCATCGCACCTTTCGTTTTGCTCGGCGGATACCTCATGACTGGTCGACTAATCCTGCGCCGGAAAATCTTTATTGCACGAATGTTTCTGGCCAGCTCAGTGACGACGGAGCACGCGAATTGGCCACTGCCATCCCAGGCTCGCGTCTCTTCCAAGCCTGGGCGGCGCTAGTGAAAAGAATTCGTACACGCGTGCGGGCCGCAGCGGCGCTGCACCAAGCCCCTGTGATCGCTGCCCGGCCAGCGGCGTCAGAGCCTCCTCGCGTGCACCGGTATACATGCGCGCCCCCGGAGACGCGGACGACGCGTACGGTTTCGGCAACGGCACTCCCTCCTACTCGTACACGCCACAGCAGCCGCAGCAGGCTGCGCCGCAGCTGCCGCAGCCGACGGGCGGCGTCGGCTTCCAGCCACAGCCGGGCGGGTACGGCGGCGGCGGGTGGGAGAGCACGTCGGGGAGCATGGACGGCGGGGGCGGCCCGCCCGAGCCGAGCGAGGGGATGCGCAAGCGGAACCTGTCGGCGAGCTGGAAGCTTTCGCAGACGCTTCTCGGCGAGGGAGAGGAGGACGAGCCGCCCATCCTGGAGGAGCTCGGGATCAACTTTTCGCACATCGTCTCCAAGACGCGCGCGGTGCTGTGGCCGCGCCGGTCCAAGCTCGACCAGGAGGCGACCGACAGCGCCGGACGCTGCGGGCGACACGTCCACACAACACGTCCCTGAGACGGCTGCGCGACACTTTTTGCAGGTGATCGACGACTCCGCACGTGCGTCTCTTCACACCCTGAAGCTGTGAACGGTGTCTCTTCACACCCCGCAGGTGATCGACGACTCGGACTTTGCGGGCCCGCTCATCTTTTGCTTTGCGCTGGCGGCGGTGCTGCTGCTCAAGGGCAAGGTCCAGTTCTCGTATATATACGTCGTGTTTGTGACGGGCCTGCTCGCGCTTTGGGCGGTGCTCTCCCCGCGCGAGTAGAAGCAGCAGGCAGGGCCCCTGGTACGGAAGCGAGCACACGCCGAGACCCGCATCCGCACCGCAGGTGCTCAACCTCATGTCAATGAAGGGGATTGACATCTACCGCACCGCCTCCGTCCTCGGCTACTGCCTGCTGCCGATCGTGCTGCTCGCCGCCCTCTCGCTCCCGCTCGACCTGACCGGCGCGTGGGGGGCGCTCTTCGTGCCGCTGACGGTGTTTTGGTGCTCCAACGCCGCCGCCCTCTTCTTCGTCATCATCCTGCAGGCGGACGACCAGCGGTGGCTCCTCCTCTATCCCGTGATGCTCTTCTACACCGGCTTCGCCCTCATCACCATCTTTTGACGCCGGCGGCGACCGCCGCGCCGTTCCGGCCCCGGCCCTCCCCCTCCCCGTGCGCCTCGGTGAGAGCCTGGATCCCACGGACGCTCACGTCGCTGCGCGCAGTGTAGAGAAGTGCGCTGCGTGGCCCCTAGCCCGCAGTCCTCGGCTCATGCAGGCGAGCATAGCGGGTGGGGAGGCCCTAAAACGGCGGGAGGGGTAGGGCTATATCGATAGAGCTAGAGGGCTCAACCACCCCTCCACCCCTCCACCCTCCACCCCTCCACCCTCCCGGAGCGAGAGAGGTCTCCGTCTTCGAGCCCTCCCACTTCCACCCCTCCGACCGGAGGGCTCGCCAGCCCACAGGGCTGGAGGGGTCCCCGTCGGATCGGCGTCGGGAGGGCTCCACAGGGCTAACCCCCTCCCCGGACGCCGGGTGGGCTCGGAGGGACGGTCGGACAGGGGAGGATCTTCGTGGCGGGAGGGCTCGAGAGGGGTCGGAAGGAAGGGCCCTCCGGGAGGGGTCGCAAAAAGATAAAGAAAACGAAGTCGCGGCTTATGTGACTGCCCCCCAAGAGGGCTCGGAGGGCTCGGAGGGGTCGGGAGGGCTGGAGGGCTAGAGGGCTCCATTAGGGCTCGGAGGGGTCGATCCTCTGAGCCCTCCGACCGCTCTGAGCGCTCAGA